ACAGTCGCAAGAAGATGGAAACAACCTCAATGCCAATCAGTGGAAGAATAAATAAATAAACTCTGTCACATACACACAATGGAATGCCACACATTGCTAAAAAGTCATGATAAAACCATGAAAGACCTCAGACATGAATAGATTTGGAGGACAATAAGCTGAATGAAGTCAGTCAACTATCAAAGAGTAAATCTATCACTCCTTCCTTTAAATCTTTGCATTCTTTTTCACTACACTGGTCATTTAGCATTAAATAGCAACGGATTTTACGCATCCCCAGTGCCTTACATGAGTTTCAAGTGATAGCTGCAAGTGACTCCTAAGCCTCAGACACCCCTCCCTCCATCGACAATTGACTTTTTATTCCTCAGAAACAACTAGAATCTCATCCCCTCCAAGATACTTCCTCTAATCAGAAGAGTTAATGGTAATTAGCATCTAACTCATTTGTTAAAAACGAAGTCACAATAAATCAGATGGTGCCCGATTATCAGGAAGAACAGTGTCTGAGCTTGTAAAGACTTGTGTTAAAACAAGCAGCCATCCAAAAAAGGCATCAGCTAAATGCACACAGAAGCACACCAGCCTGTGTCATCCTAAGGCAGTAAATAATAAAATCCAAGACCAGAGGAGGAAAGGGTATTTAAGCTCATAGCTTAAATCCTGAGCACCCACTTTGTAGGAGGTTATGGATAGCAATGGAAGCCCAAAATCCGTTTGCCAGGTTCTCACCTGGATTAAGCCTCCAGTGAATCTCCTATGATCACTGACTGAGGATGTGAATAGGCTAGCTAGCAGACACAACACATGAGACAGTGGATTAATACAGATGTAGTTAGATTATAATTTAAAACCTTGTCATTAGTTCTCCCTTTTGACTTATTTTTCATTTGTTCTCATTTTTAATACGTTCTGCTTTCTTTTTGCTTGAGGTTTTTCTGTTTTATTTTGTCACTGCTGTTGGGTTTTTTGTTTTCTTTTTTTGTATGTTTTCCTGTCGATGAAAATCAAAGATAAGTAAATCTATAGAGACAGTAACTAGATTAACAGTTTCTTAGCATTATGTCAGATGAGGCTGGGGTAAATGGGGAGCTAATAAGAATGAGCAAAAGAAAGAAGAAATTGTTTTGAAATTGATTGTAGTGATGATTGCATGATTCTTTTTAATATGATTAAACCATTGAATTGTATATGTGAGTTATATGTCAATAAAGCTTTTTTAAAATGAAGCCCCTACCTGGCTAATCTTTCACAGGTTGTGAGAGCGACACAGGTGTAGACCTGAATGTGGCCTGACAGTCTCCTAAAAGCTGGGCCCCCAGTGCTGTGGGAGGGGAGGGAGCCAAGAGTGAGACTGTAGGGAAGAGGCCTGAGAGAGAGTATGGGGAGGAGGCAGTACGAGTGGCAGGGAGCGCTATCTGGACACCAGCTCCTGGGATAAGTGCTGTTACTGGAACCAAGAACTTATTCCTAGACTTCAGTCCTACCTAGCTCAGACTCAGCCTGGAGCACAGCCAGGAACCCAGCAGAAACAAAAACAACGGTGTCCTTCAAGCCCTGAGGATGAGGTAAGAGGAAATTCATTAATTAGCTGCATGGAATCTGGGGTGAAGGGGTAAAGGAGAATAGTATTTTACTATAGCACTACAAATAAAAAATATCTATAGGCACAACCCTTCTATCCTCTAAACTAAGTACACTCAAAAGTTTGGTATCTTCCAAGGGAATGCTCTCTGCAACACCTCAACATGGAAAAAACAAATAATCCAATTAAAAAATGGGCAAAGGATATGAACGAACAGTTCACCAAAGACGACACCCCAGTGGTCAACAAACATATGAAGAAATACTCATGATTACTAACCATTTGATAGGTACAAATTTAAAAAAAGATGAGATACTACCTCACACAAGCGTTGATTGCAAAGTTAAAAGAAAATAAGAAATCCTGGGCAGAGCAGAGAGATGGGAACCCTGCTGGCAGGACTGGACAGCTGCATGACCTTCGCGGA